TAACATGACAGCAAATGTACCTGATCGTACCTGATGATGACAAAACCTTGTCGAAACGTTGTACATTTGCTGTCATGTTAAACTTGTATTAAAGTTTTTCTTCATTACCCATTTAAGCCGTCTCCAGCCATTATTAGTCTCAAAGTGGGTTCCTCGTCATCGAATTTAAACGGATTGGTTTAGTCAGAAAAATAAGTAACCAAATATATTTGTAATTAATTCTTTGTTTTTATATATTTTCTCTATTGTTTGTGTTATATTTGGTGTTTAAATGCAAAACATAAGCCTTACTTCTGATCCATTTTCTAATGTTAATGACCCAGGTGATTCTCTGCCTGCCTTTTTATCACCAATATGACATGCCTATAGTGGTGATTGGTGAGCTATTCATATGACTTGTGTTTGTGTTTTTTCAGCTTGTAGTTTTACATATTATTTTCAGAAGTTTGTATGTAAGTGAATATGGTATTCTTGAGATAGAAAGATGATCACATTTATGCTCTTAAGTTTCCATAAGTTGTATATATGAGCTTGAAATGTTTAGCAGGAGTTCTGGATTCTCCATCCATATTATAATGTAGTGGTTAGTATGACAGGTTAGAGATCACAAAACACTGTACTTTCAGTTTTGGAGCATAATAACTGTGACAGTTAATCATACTATTTGTAGCTATCTTTGGTCAACAGTTATAAATTTTACAATGGCTATGCTGGACCTTTGGGTCTCATGTCTTGGCCATTAAGCCCAGGTGTTGCATATGTTCTTGTTATATTTGGAAACAACAAATACTCTTATGAGGCTAAAGTTTTTGTCACAACATTTGATAAATCTGTATGTGCGACGAAATGTTTCTTATAAATACTTGTATTATACGTAGCTGAATTGAATTGATATGTTCTTAAAAGACCAGCTCAGTTGTTAAAAAAAATTATCTGTGCATAATTCAATTCCTTGTTAAAGCTTTTATGAAACCTCTTGAGATTTAATTTGTTTTATTCTGTCAGCAAAAACAAAATTTAGTAAAGGCACATGCAAAATAATTTAAAGGTTATGGTGCTCCCTCTGCAATTTTATTTTTCTAAATTGGTATATTGATGTGTTAGATTGAAATGTTCACTTTAAATCTCTTCATTTTAAAGGTACAGTGAAGTAATTTATACAAATACAAAGATTTTATAATGTTAGTGGGTGAATTATTAAAGATTTTTGTGAGGCATTCATGATAATTATACTCATTTATATATCATCCTGAAAAGTATTTTTTGGTTAACCAATACCATACCCAGTTTCTTATGCTAACTGTAGCTAGCAGTACAGATTAGCATAAAAATCTGTGGTTTAAATTTAAACTTACTGGTAATTTCACCCTGTTAGTTAAGTTTGAAGTAAATGTAAATTTCTTATTGGTGTATTAGGTAGTAAAGAATTTAACTTAAATATGTACATGTATCTATTGTGAATAAATCTTGCTTTATTTATTGTGAACCCATAATGGGCCTGTTAAGAAACAAGTTGATGAAAAGTATTCGAACATGAACATCTAGTTGTAATGTGTCATTACATCCAGCTTTTCTTTATCTAAGAAGAAAATATTTAGTTGTGAAGGTTCATGATCTGTAAATTATGGATTACCTGTGAATTAATGCAAGTTCTTTTACTTCATTGGTGAATTGATGTACATAGGTTTGGTTATGTTGTTCTTTTTTTTTCCCACTTACTTTAGGGTATCATTGACAATGGATGGGGGGATGCTGTGGTACCATTTCCCTTGCAGGGGGGTCCAAAGTTTTCCAGGGAAACTTTGTGCCAGTAGATGGTTTACTCCAAATCACAGACTTTTAAATAGAGAAGTGTTTCAGGTGTCGAATACCTGTGGATTTAAACATGCAGGAACTAGTTCGGGTAAGTTTACAATTTTGGTTAAGATATTCAATGAATAAATAGTAATTTAAAATAATTTTATTCAACCGAAGCTCAAAATCTCTGAATTATTCGCAACAGCCTAATTGTGTTTGCAAATCTGTTTATCAAGTTCAAAGTCATTAAGATCAAAGTCTAATTGAAATCATATTTTTATCAACACAAAAAAAAAATGATGGGTATACTCAGTAATATTAGGAATGATAAAAACATCATGTAGTTGCTGGCAAATAATTAAACTTTCTAACATCATCATGCAAGATATGAATAGGCAGACTCAAGAGTACAGTATTTGAGCATTCATTTCTATCGAAGCATAAAACTTGTGTAACAGGCACTCCTGTAACAAGATAGATTAGGGTGCACGTGATCCAAATAATTTAGTGTTTATATCTGTAAGCATGAAAATGTCAAACTTTATCTGGCTTTTCAGCCTCCTGCATTTGTGTATGGGACTACTTTGTCAAAATAAGCACTTATTTTTAATTTAAATTTTTTAGTTCTTTTAACAACAGTCGTCTGTGAGAGGAATTTTTCAGAGATAGAGAGAGAGAAGAGAATTAAACACCCATAAAAAAAGTTTCTTTTTGTATGAGCACTGCTCTACCATTAATGTTGGTTATTCAGAATAATTTCAAACTAAAAGTTTTATCTTTTTTAGAAGTACATATTCTTCAAAATACATCTATTAAAGGGCCTTTTGGTTCATCTTGGCTGTCCTATCCACTAAATTAAATTCTAAAAAATTTGTCATTCAAATATTTATCAAGCTTTCCATTAAATTAACTACATCCGCCACATCTGAAGGCAACCCATGCCAAAGTCCAATCACTCTGTTTGAAAAAGAAAGCTGTTTTAACTGAAGATGACTGCCAAAAATTTATATTTGTGTCCCCTAATATTACTTTCTTACCACTTAGTATGAAAAAAAGATGATGCATCAACACTATCAATTCCCTTAACAATTTTAAACACCTCAATCATCGGAAGTATGTTCTTATTCATCACAATATACCAAAATTTGTGGGTGTTGTCTATGTAAGTGTTTGTTAGGTAATCAGCAGTATTGCTAGCAATATAGTTTTTGAGGTATTAAGTTTATAACTTTGGAGTACCTGTTTTATTTAAATGTAAGTTATTGAACATGTAAATTACCAATTTATTATGATTGGAGTCCAAAAAATATGTGATAAAACTTGTTGTTGGCGTATAGACATAAATTGTTTCAAATGTGAAGGGCTATAGTGTCGGGTGATTTGTGATAATGTCAATCAATAAATCGGTGTCTCCGTTAATTGATTAGTATGATGTTTTCCACACCATGATGCGTGCAAGCAAGTTGATAGCATGTGCTACGAAGACGTCACCCTCTCTCTCTGTCTCTAGTCAGCAGCTCGAAATTAGAGACAGTAACCAATAGCCTTGGTAGCTTTGCAATAATAACAAAACAGGGCAAGATTTTGATTACTTAGATATTTGAAATAATTAGAAGGATTAATTTCAAGTTGATTATCGTCATGGGAATCAATATCATCAGATTTAACCATAATTTAAATTATTTCTACTTTAAAAAAAATGATGAATCGTCACTTAGTTCGTATATTTTTTGTAACTATTTATGAAAGCTTTTAAATAGAGGAGTTTTGTTTTGAAAGAAATATTTTAGTATTAAATGAAGAGGACCATTAAAAAAGTCTGCTCTCTGTGTTTATTGTTTTTCTGTGACATTTTGATAGATCTCTTGAAATTTGACTTTTAAAACTTAAGGTTCTATTTAGTTGCTCGAGTTTTGTTCTTCTGTGCTGTAAATGTTAATCTGTTTGAAAAGGACATGAAAACAATCATGTTTGTGGAGATGTTTTCAAAGTTTATTTAATTTTTGTCAAGTGTGAAAAAGATTTTTGTCATTTACTCTGATGCTACGTGTGCCTGCACACTGGACTGAATTAATTATGTTTTTTTTTATTGGTAACCATTGGATTACCTTAGATGTTAGAGAGCCATCAGGCAGGTGGCAAAGATTTGAAAAGAATCCGCTGATCCGTTATTTTCGAAGATTAAAGTGGGTATCCATTCCCTTGAGTTTGGGCTTTGCTTATCTTGCTTATCAGCAGTTTTGGCATGTCTACAAACGGGAAAAGTCAAAAGTCACTTCAGGAACTCAATTAGCAACAGATTTTGAAGTGAGTAATACATTGATATCCTTGCATTTATAGAAATTTTAATTACTTTTTTTTATGTAAAGATGTTTTAAACCATAGTCATTTTTAAAAAAAAAGTATTTAGAAGTAGCACAAGTTTCATATTTTTTGTTACTGTAAGAATAACATTATGTTATCGTTTATGATAAAATATTGACTAATGTGTTAATTCAGATCTTTTAGAAATTGTTACATCACTTATAGTACATTCAATTATTATAATTTCAACAGGCATATCTAGGAATGAATAAAAATTAATATTTTTGGAAAAGTGTTCTTAATGATTTCAACACTATATTTGCTGCACAAGTAAAGTGTAAAAATATAGATTTTTGTAATTCTTTTTTTTTTTTTTTAATATTTGATGCTTATTGTGATTTTGTTTAGGTTACTCTGATTAAGATGCTGCCTTTACGAACTTCATCCCGCTTGTGGGGCTGGATTAATAATATCAAGCTTCCTCTTCCCTTACGCTCCCCAGTTATCAACTGGTTTGCTAATACGTATAACTGTAATATTGAGGAGGCGTTAGTAGATGATGTTACTCAGTATCAGAACCTGGGAGAATTCTTTCGAAGATCTTTAAAACCAGGAGTTCGACCCATTTGTGAAGGCAAATGTGTGGTAAGTTATTTTTGGTGATAAAAAGTTCCACTTTGGTTTAACAAACATGTATAACTAAGGTGATAAAGGATCCAACATTCATTTAACAAACTAGCCTCAGTTGTGTTGGCAGAGGATCCAACATTCATTTAACAAACTAGCCTCAGTTGTGATGATAAAGGATCCAACATTCGTTTAACAAACTAGCCTCAGTTGTGATGATAAAGGATCCAACATTCATTTAACAGACTAGCCTCAGTTGTGATGATAAAGGATCCAACATTCATTTAACAGACTAGCCTCTGTTAAATGAATGTTGGATCCTCTGTCAACACAGCTGACTAGCCTCATCTGTGTTGACAGAGGATCCAAATTCATTTAACAAACTAGCCTCAGTTGTGTTGGCAGAGGATCCAACATTCATTTAACAAACTAGCCTCAGTTGTGTTGACAGAGGATCCAACATTCATTTAACAAACTAGCCTCAGCTGTGTTGACAGAGGATCCAACATTCATTTAACAAACAAGCCTCAGTTGTGTTGACAGAGGATCCAACATTCATTTAACAGACTAGCCTCATTTGTGTTGATAAAGGATCCAACATTCATTTAACAAACAAGCCTCAGCTGTGGTGATAGAGGTTCTACATTGGTTTAACAAACAAGCCTCAGCTGTGATGATAGAGGTTCCACATTGGTTTAACAAACAAGCCTCAGCTGTGGTGATAGAGGTTCCACATTGGTTTAACAAACAAGCCTCAGCTGTGGTGATAGAGGTTCCACATTGGTTTAACAAACAAGCCTCAGCTGTGGTGATAGAGGGTTTGACATTGGTTTAACTCTGGGCTTACAGGTACCCTTTCCTGCACACATTTTACTAAATTACATTCTAAATTTAATTAAACAATTTTACTATCAATGCATGTCAATGAAATTAGCACTACAATTCAAAGTTTTATATTATCTAAGCTTTATTTCAAAAGAAACCTTTAAAAAAAATACTTTAACTTCAGTTTTGTTATCACGTGATGGTCTCTTGAATAGTAAACTATATGTGGTGTACTTCTGTCTCTAACCAGAAACTAGGTTAATTGCTCTGTTTATGCATCCTTCTTTCAACTTCCTTTGTGTCAATTCTTCTCTGCCACAGGAAATATATCTTGCTAACTCCTCACAAATGCCACACCCACCTTCTATATTAGATTTGAGATTTAGAAGCCACATGTACTTATATAACATACAAGTTCATAACCAACTGAAAGTGTTTCTTGCCAAAAGTTACAAACAAATCTTTATTAAAGTACTTAATTAAAAAATCATATTTTTTGTGTACAAAATCCTTGTAATGTCTTCTGATGGTCTACACGACTTCGTGAAGACATGCATACATTATCAAAAAGTTATATATATATATATATATATATATATATAGTGTAACTAATTTCTTGGTTACTTTGGTAGTTATGTGTTAGGCCCATAAGTGATTCATTGCTTTATATCCGGCAGGTTTCTATTTCAGTTGCTAACGGTACAGTAACAATAGGAAATAGGCTTAAAAAGATTAGAAGAAACTTCGGGAGTTTTACTTGGAACTTTACTGTTCGTACTGAGTACTATTCACTTTGTTTCTTCTAGTTTCTAACTCATCTGCTAGCAATAAAATAATTACAGAAAATAAGTGTGAAAAGGTGAAAGTGTAAACTCTGGCCATAAGTACTTTGAAATTTTGTAATCACTACTAACAATACTATACATTTTATTTTTCAACCTTTAATTTCGTTATACATTGATTACTTACCGACAACCTGGAGAAATAAGTATAATGTTACAGTACAAAAAATAACAAATAAAATATAAGGCTTTACTGAAAATAAAAATGTTTGATATCTAAGTATGAGGTTTTTTATTTTTCCACTTGTTTTAACTGTTTATTATTATGAAAGTAACTAAAATCATAAAAATAGAAAGTCGTTAGTAAAGATAATGAAATAAAAATAATATAAACCCTTCAATGGGTATAAATGCCAGAAGCTTCTGCATTACACTGTTCGATAAGGTCATGTCAGTGACAATAGATGGATTCCACCCAACTCGTAATAGAAGTATTAATAAAAAAAACCTTATCTGTGGTGATAAAAGGTTCCACGTTGGTTTAACACTTTTCCGATGTGCATCTTTTTCTGTGCAATTCACAAGGTGTTAGTGAGTTACATTCAAAATTTTATTAAACTTCTTTATTTTCATGGTGTAGGAATAAATTTGGCATAAAAACATGGGTAATAATCCATATTTTAATAGTATATAAGTTTTAAATTCTTAGTTTTATATGGCATTATTTTAAAAAATCCTAAATATCTCCTAGTATGATAATTGTGGCATTTTCTCTGTAAGCATCCTCTCTTCTCTAATTTATTTACCACCCCTCCAAGAAGTAGGATATTTAATGTAAATTACTCATTATAAAGTTATCACTCAGGCAAAGCATAATCTTTATAGCCTTCAATCTTTAGGGTAGAGAAAGTAACCGATAAAATATAAAGTTTTACTGAAAGAATGTTTGAAATCTGTTTAGGTTTTAGAGATTATACAAATTAAGTGTGAGATGTTTCAGATTAAGAAAATCACTTTGTACTCGGAGCATTCAACTCTTTGTCAACCATATATTCATGGAGAAAGTTTTAGTGAAAATACTTCATTAGAAATTCTCATTTTTTTTTGTCTACAAATGACTGAATGATTATTAAAAACTTGCAATATTTCGTGAAGATACACAAAACATATTAACAGTTATAGTATGGAAACTATAAATGTCAATTTGGGGTCACAGACTCAGTCAATTCGATTGAGCCTGTAGCAAGAGAGTCAACAAACAAGCCTCAGCTGTGTTGATAAAAGGTTCCACATTAGTTTAACAAACAGGTTTAGCTATGGTGGTAAAGGGTTCCATGTTGGAACTAACTACATTGAGGCAACATATGATCTTGACTCATGATTGCAAGATAACAACAGGAGGATCTGTGCAAGTTTATATATAGAAGTGTGCAAATTTATTGATTTGTTGTTGCTATGAAATAAAACCATTGTAGTTTAAAATGTTAAAAAAAAGCATCGAAATAGACAAATTTCTGATTTATCTCCCTTGATCCATGAATTTAGTATGTTAAAATTTAACTGATTTAAAATTTTTAGATAGAAAGCAACAGAGTGGTCCAACACAGTCACGCATGGTTGCGTTTAGTGCATTCTGTATCAGTCATTATTGACAGAAGTTTGAAACTTTCAATCCTTTTCATTTGACACGTGGTCAAATGCATAGGCACACATTTTTGGTCACATTACAATTTTAAGTTCTCCTGAGGAAAGTGGAAATGTGTTTTGAATTTGCACATGCGAAGCACTTCACATGAAGTTTTTGTCATGAAAACGGTCTGGGTTTTCATGTCGGTTTGCATAGATATATAAGGCCACTCCAAAAAAAAAAGCTTGTATCTTTTATTTTTTTAACTTGAGGTTGGTCAGTCAGTTTTTTTAAACTTTAAGTAATTTCCATTACTTCACATATTACCTGTACATTTATATCTCCATTTTTGTTTTGTTTTAGCATTTACCTGTTTCTCAGGATCATCTCTTAAATATATAAATAAATGGCGTACACGGTTTAGTGAAATACATGTAGGTAAACTGCAGAAAACATACAGGACGGAATAAGTTACTTTAAGTAGTGCTAAATAATATTCTAACATCGTATTAAAGGTGAGTCTGTTCAATGATGGAGCAAGATTGTTGCCAGCTGTAAGAATCATGGTTGTTTTTGAGTTCTAGATATGTTGTTCTTTTTTTTAACAATTATGATTTTGGAAAATGGTAAGTCAGAAGGTTTTTAAAATCAACATGACATTTAGATACAATTCTTAATTTAATTTCTGTGCAGTACTTTTGTAACAGAAGTTTTTTCTAATTAATATTTGTTCTTATTTCATTCCCTCTACACAATTCAATAAGATTCCTAAATCTTACAATTAAAAGGAGTACACAATGTTAAAATAATTGGCCAATAAATAATTATTTATTGTCCAATTATTTTAACACTCTATAATCGTTTTAATTGTACATACCTGCACAAGTGCCATTTTAATTTATTTATTCGTACATCTTTCTCTTCAGAAAAACGGGTATTTTGTGCATTTTCTTAAATTCATCACTCGGGATTTTGTGAATGGGAAACTCAGTCCCCTTGTACTAAACAGATGATTTTACTTTACTGATCTGTACATTTATGCCTTTTTTACATAGGTAAAAAGAACTTAACTCTTAAAAAAATCAGCTAACACACTGACATTTTTGTGACCTATTGCCTTGTCTAAGTCGTCAACAAAATGAAACTTTCCATATGATATAACAGATTGGCTCCATTGATAATCTAAACTGGAATTCAAATGTATAAGTATTTTAAAATATGTTTAAACAACTATTAAAAGATGGCATTTTTAAGTGTACAAATCAAAAGGGAAAAAAAACCAACCTATTATTGTCATTTCGTATATTTTCTTTCTGATTTGTAGAGAAAAAGGCAGTCATTTTGCATTCTTATATCTAGTAAAGTCTTGTATGTTTTTATTTTGCACAGTGGGGTTACTAGAAGTCTTTCTTAGTATAGGGTTTAGTATGTTGGCCATTTCATTAAACACATTAAAACAGTTTTATATCAAAATTATAATTTTTTTGTTTGTAAATAATATAAAGGCATTTTAATAGTTAATTCAGTGTTCATAAAATAAACTCTGTATTGATTTACCCTCCAAATTCCATTAAACTTGCACTGTTCTATATTTTTATATGCCTGCTGGGTTCTATGTATATGGATTGCCTTCTCAACACCAAACTAAGTTTGACTTTTTGCAGTTAATGCTGACAGGGATGTATGGAGAATTTAGGTAATGTTGTAACAGTGGCAAAATGGGGAAAAACATTCTGCTAGAAATCGGGTGGGCGATTCTTAGAAACTTTTTTTTTTAAGTGGCCTAAGGGATGTTATTTTTAAAACATTTTCTAGTATAGCTAATATAGTGTGGTGTTGCCATTAAAATCCATAAACAGAAAGAGAATTAACACTTTGTGAGAGCCGAACCTTTACATACTACTGGTTGGAGTTTAAGAAAAATTCCAAAAGACCTCAGCTCTTCACCAAAATACTTCTGTAGTACACATTGGACAGACACAAGGAAACCCAGTCCTGTAACATTAGTCAAGGCAGGAGAAAGTGTGAGAACTTTGCTGATGACATTACAAGTCATGCACAGTTTCAAGTTACGGTCTCAAGAATTCTTCGGTGATGTGGACTTTCGGGAAGAGTAACAGCAAGAAAGTCATCACTGTGTAAAAATAAAATAGCTGTCATGAAAAAAATTTGTGTCCTGGTATTTGTAACAATGGAACATTGTACTTTGGGCAGATGAATCTCAATATGAATGTTTTTTTTTCTAACTGACATGTATATGTTTGTCTGAGAGGTAGCAGAAAGAGTACCAATGGTCAAGAAAGAAGTATGCCCTGTGGTGGTGGTTTGGGTATAGTGTTGGCAATCTTCACGATATTGAGGGAATAATGGATCAGGATAAATAACACAGTATACTGTTGTATACGTCTGGAAAGAAGCTGATTGCGCAGGTGTTCGTATTTCAAGACCCCAGATACAGTTTCAAGAAAGTTCAAGATAATTTAGAGAAAAAAAAGAAGGCTCAGGAGATATCCATTAAATAGAATGGTGACCACAAATTCAAGACCAAATATGTGATTTGCTGGACTGAAGAAAGGTAACAACTGTACTAAAGAAAGCTTCTGGACACAGCATCAATAGAAATAGAATCAAATTACCCAAGAGACTTTAAGGAAACACAAGGGTGCCAAAGCTGTTATTTATGCCAGTGGTGTCCACATTAAAGAAACTTCAACAGAATTTGTAGAGTAACCTTGTTATAAATTCCTGTAAGATACAGCAAATCGATTAACATTTTATGTGTGTAAAACTCATAAAATGACAATTGTCGGGTGTTCTATCACATTCGCACACTGTGTGTGTGTCTCTCAGCGAGTTCAGAAATTTATTTAATTACTGGTTTAAGTTGTTTCTTTTTAAGTCACTTCCAAGAGAAAATCTGTAGGCGACTTTCTGATACTTTCTACATGTGGTATTGTTCTACCACATTCACACACTGTGTGTGTGTGTGTTTCTCTGTCTCTTTCTCTCTCTCTTTATATATATATATATATATAATTTTTTCTCCCATTTGTATGAATGGGTAATATACAATAAGAACAACTTTTATAATGATTTACATGTAAGAATTAGGTATTCACAAACAATAGTGTCATTATTGCTAAACAGTGCCTGACACTAGCATTTTGTCACATAATCATCTGCTTTCAGAGATGTACTATATTAAACAAAATGGTGTTTGTAGTATTGTCTAATCTTTCCTTTTTACTTGTGTGATAAGTTATAAGAATAAAGGTACAGATCTTTGAAAACAATGATATAATTACGACTACCATTTCTGATCACATTTAATTACTGGTTTAAGTTGTTTCCTTTTTACGCCACTTCCAAGAGAAAACCTGTAGACAACATTCTGATACTTTAACAAATGGTTTGTTAAGCAATATTTAACTAGTGCACTTTGATCAACCTTAAGAACTGTTAATTCGTAATTTTGTTGTTGTTTTGGCATAGAAAGTTAACTATTGTTTACGGATAGTGACAGTTTTTTTTTGTTTTTTTAAATACACGGCGCTTTGTACTAAAGTGAACATCTTAGAAATAAACTTTGGTTTAGTTACTCATGAAACATTTTGACAATTGGCATATTAATATTTTCAAAAGAATTACCAACACCAGAACTGGTCAATTAACTCAGTAAATAGATATAATTGAATGAACATTGATTACATCCACTATAGTAACTTAAAATGATCGACTAATCAAACTTAGTATTTCTATTTTTTATTAGTCCAACTATCCATAATTTTTGTGGGAACAATTTATTAGATTAATGAGCATGATTATTAATTGATTAGCAAATTACACTAATTGCCAAGTTGTAATCACCACATGCAAGAAATTTAACTTTATACTAAATTCTAAACATAAATTAAAAAACAGTTTTGTTGCATTTGAATTAGTTATTCTAAAATGTTTCAAATGGTAATTACAAGGTTATATAAATAATTTTGAAGTCAACATAAAAGATAAAACCTGTTTTTGGGGAAGTTGATTTCTTATGATTAGGTAAAACAAAGCATGTACTAACATTATTAAGTGATTATACATAATAGTTTGGTAAAATTTAACTAGAATTTATTGAGGAGTGGTTTTGGTGTGTTAATAAAACTTGTTTAATCTTATTATTTGTGACACGATTTTAATATTTTATTTGGCCATTCTTTATTGATTACTTCACACGGAATTTAATAATGAAATTTGCTTATTAAATTGAAATATTTTTCTCTAGGTTAGCCCAGCAGATGGCACAGTTTTAAACTTTGGAAAAGTCCAAAATGGACGAGTAGAACAAGTGAAGGGGATAACATATTCCCTGCCTGGATTTTTAGGTCCCAATTTTGGGAAATCGAGTATAAAGAAAGTGGAGAGTGAGGTAAGTTTTTGTCTCATTTATTTATTAATCATGTATAGCTCTAATGTTTCATGATGGTTTTGCAGTGTTAAAGGAGAAGGTTCAATAATCTGGTAATTTTACTCACTCGTCGAATGTTTTTATTTACTTTTATTGTGTTCACCTCATTTCACTAATGTTAAAAATTATAAAATAAGTATTAATCTTTTCCACAACTCAAACTTACAAATGTCACATTTGAGATTCCATCTTCAGTCATTGTCAGAATTGTGACCAGTCAATCCTGTAAGTCTTGGATACTGGTATTGCGGTCTGTTCATTAGTCTAAAGAACCCCATTACTAACACTATGTACCCCTATTACTTTTGCATTAGTACAATGTAAGACAGGAATTTACCTGTGAAGTGTGTTCAAAAATCATGTGATCAGTGTAAGCTTTAGACTAAAAATCATGTTCTCAGTGTAAGCTTTAGACTAAAAATCATCTTGTCAGAGTAATCTTTAGCCTAAAAATCATCTTGTCAGAGTAATCTTTAGGCTAAAAATCATGTTATCAGAGTAAGCTTTAGGCTAAAAATCATATTATCAGAGTAAGCTTTAGACTAAAAATCATATTATCAGAGTAAGCTTTAGACTAAAAATCATATTATCAGAGTAAGCTTTAGACTAAAAATCATATTATCAGAGTAAGCTTTAGACTAAAAATCATGTTAT